GTGGTCAGTTCAGGGGGCAAGGGAGAGGGAGTGGTGCTCCTTAAAACTTGGTACCGCAGATTAGGAACTTGGTGTCACACATGGGCTCAGCGCATGGACAATGAGGTCCTTGCAGGGCTGGCATTGACCCACCCAGGTTGCAGACAGCCATCCTGGAGAGGGGTCATCACATAATCCAAAGCAACTTGAGCAGGGAGTGTGGGATGCCTAGCAGCTCTTGAGGACGGGCAGGGACAAGGAACAGAGATTGTTGGGGGCTTGGTTGTTTTCCTGCAGATGTTTCAAGGTCACCCTAGGTAACAGGATCAGTGCGAGGGAGAGAGGGAACCCCGCTGTCCCTCGCACTGACTGGTCTTGAAACGTCTGCAGGAAAACAACCAAGCACCCAACAAGAGCAAGGACCAACAGTTCAACTCTGAGCTCTGTATATTCTCTACTGTTGGAGATATGAGATTTCAAATAACCTTTTAAGCAACTTTTGGCTGCATTCTGATGATTGCTATTGCCTTGTTTAATGATATATATTGTTTTATGCTAAACCCACTCCATCTGCTGGGGAAGAGGCCACCTCCTTGTACTCCAAATGTTTTGGCCATCAACTCTGGCCAGTTGGAGCCAAGGATTATGAAATCTGTAGTTCAATCTTGTAATGAACACTGTGTGGTCTATTTCTGCCTTGGTTCCCCTACAAGAGAACTTGGAAAGGGTGGAAACAGTAGTGAGGTGCCGCTGATGCAGAAGCATAGGTGCAAGACAGGACTGCCGGCAGAAAATTTATGCTTCCATGCTGGCTGCGGAAGATGGGAAAGCTGAAATCCACCACATCAGGAAAATGTCATTCAGGAGAAGATCAAGACCTGTGTTCCACTGTTCAAGAGCTCTGGACATGGAATAATGGATTTCAGTTGCAGGAAGGCAGATTCTGACTGTTGTGAAGAACTTCCTACCCATGAAGAGTAGTCTGATGGTGGAACCACTTGCCCAGAGGGATGGGGGACTCCCTCCACTGGATGTCCTGAAACAGAAGCCGAACTACAGGGCTGTGCAGTGTTTTGGATTCAGTTTGGAAGAGGTACTTTGGTATTTCAGAAAATGCAGCAACACGAATGCTGCTCTGCCTGAGACTCGTTAAAGCAGTCACTGCACGAATCTGGAAACAGATGCGGCTGCTTTAATGAGCAGAGACAATTGTAGCATATGTGCTCCTAGTTGTTCCAAAATGCCTCTTCTGAATGGAATTCAAGGCACCGCACAGCCTCTTGAGCAGCTGTTTGCTTTCATTTGGATTCCTGCACTGAGCAAGGGGGTTATATTCCATGTTCTCAGTGGCTGCTTCCAGCTTCAGGATTCAATGCCAGGTCACCCAGAGCAATTTGGAGAAGTTGTTTGTGGGTTTTGTTTCAGTTTTTCTGAATCAATTTACAGCTGTTGCTTTCAGTCTCTATTAAATGTACTTGGAGACTGCTTCAATTTTACAGTGATATTTTCCCCCCGCTTACCTTGCACATCTTCTCTTCTTCAAACAACCTCCTATTTGCCAGAATAATCTCCTCCTCCCCAAAGCCCCTTAGCAGAATAACTAAAAAGGGAAGGTTTTCACTTCTGATGAAGATGCTTACCAACTTCTCCCCTTGCCCTACAACTTTATCACCCAAAAAGTGGCCATCCCACCCCCTCCATCCCCACCAGTTTCTCTTACCTTGTGAGAAAGGTAGAACCCATCATTAGGGCCTGTTAGGTGAAGTGACTTCTCGAATGCCTCCTCCCACTTCAACCCTCTGTCCACGCTGATCTAAAGGTGGGTCAGAAACAAGCAAGGAAGTTGTTTGAGTAGTGTAGAAGGCAGACCTCCACTGACTGACTTTCAAGTTCACATCCCAGAGGAGAAAAGTCCTAGAGGGAAATGTGGACCTCCTTGTGCTGCCTCAAATGAGATTTACCACCTCTGCTTTTAAGGCAGTGTTTTGCCAACCTGGAGACTTCTGATAGAGGTAGTCTCCAATATCCTGAAGGCCCCAGCCTGGCAAAACTATTTGTAGGCATCAAAAGTATTCAGGAGACACCCTAGCAATGGATGTGAAGCATCTGGTCAAGACCTGCATGAATGTTGTGTTTGAACGGTTTGTTCCCCTTTTCCTTCACCCTCTTTGAAAAAGCATTCTACTGAACATTTAATTATCACAATTTCATGTATTTGCATTCAATTATTTTTCTCTTTTTCATTCTGTTTTAACTGAACTCCAAGTAATTCAATAAGTGCATTTTTACAAGTTTAAACCGTTGGGCCTCATTGTTGTTCCGTAAGATGAAAAATATCAAAACTGGGTGGGAGGGTAGGTGGGTGAGGAAGAGAGTTCAGAAAGGAGTATGAGAGTATGATTTATGAAACCGTATATGGCATGAAAAAGCAGACAGAGGCGTTCTCGTTTTGAGCTTGGGACATTCTGTGAGAGTAGGAACAAAGCATTTGAGCTCAAAACATTTTTCATGCCACTAACGGTAGCTTACTGAAAGAGCATAAGCTTTGCATGTAGAACAGTGTTTCTTAACCTTAGCAACTCTAACATGTGTGGACTTCAGCTCCCAGAATTCACCAGCCAGCATGTGTACTGAAAGAGCATAAGCTTTGCATGTAGAACAGTGTTTCTTAACCTTAGCAACTCTAACATGTGTGGACTTCAACTCCCAGAATTCACCAGCCAGCATGTGTGGACTTCTGGGAGTTAAGGTCCCCACATGTTAGAGTTGCCAA